AAAAAATAATGAGGTATTCGCGAGTATATTGTATCAATGTAGTTTCAATGCAGATAGGTAAACTAGCCAAATACGATCACTCGCTTCGTAACAATGTTCCATTGTATTACCAGCGTCTTGCGCACGGTTCCAAACCAGAACAATCGCCATGGCCATTGTTATTGTGGCGTTAATTTCCATTGCTATGGCGTTTCGGGGCTATCCTGTTTGCCCTCACTTCAATGCATGCCCCGCCGGTTTTTATGTTGAATATAACCTGATCAGAGCTAAGAATTTTAACGCATAAAGTACTTATCACCCACTCCAACACCGGCCCTTAAGCAGTACAACTCTCGCGCGTATAGTATACGGCAAGTGCACGTCTAGAGTAATACGGAAGGATTGACGGAATGCGTGGCAAGATAGCAAACAAATGGCATTACTCGATCCTCAAAAATTATGTATTGTAGCAAACCACCGTTACTACATCAGCTGCGGTAACCTTATTGTGAAATCCGGGCAAAATTGCCGGTTTGGTTTTATTTAGTTAGTCGCTCACATACAAATTCTCTGTTATTTCGAAATGACCACGTACTGCACAGGCTACGGTACTGATCGCACTTAAGCGGATTCTTACTGAAGCCAAGTCTATAACAGATTTGGGCGATTGCGTGCGCTGTTCAATCAAAGAACCGCGCACGGAAGTTTTGAGTAGAACGCATAATAGCATCTTGTTAAATAATCGTGTGATAAAAAGTAAAACGCATACTTCCCCTATAAATCGTACATCGGGAGCGATAATTTCGCGACGGATAATCAATGTTAAAGCGAAATGCAGGGTGATCGCTCAATTGGTTAACAAAGATGTTCTTTTAACTTCTTTTCGCATACACGAAATAAGTGAATAACACTTACAGTCTTCGGTACTTCAACGGTAAATGCTAGAAGATAGATGATTTAGTTAGGTCGAGCATTCATAGGAAACGTCGCGAGATAATGCTAATTTGAAAAGAGATGAACACAAACGCATTAGTTAGAGCGGTTCCATACCATTACACCAGTCTTTTAACAATCTTAACTACAATCTTGTACAGTCTTGACCGTCGTATGCCACTCTTAATACACAGAGGCATTCGCGAACACTCAAAGCGCGAAGCGACGAAGCGAATTTTCGTTTGCTGCCGCCAGTTTACGGCTCGCGGTTGCCAGCGCTGTTATCTCCGCCACTGGCTTCTCCATTGCTGCCCTCGTGAACAACGGAGTTCCGAGACAAATTCGCCTCAGTTGCACCTGAAGTTAAGGTATGATCTGCTGCTTGAGCCTGAAGCTGAGGGTGCAACGAAGAAGGCGCAGACACCACTTGGATCGACTGGGAAAGTGGGGCGACGGCGTACTGAAGATGCGAAACCGGAATTAGAAACTGCTGGCCACTCGTCGACTTGTGGGTGTCTCGAGCTCGAGTCCCAGCAGCATCGGTACTTATCGCAGCATCTTGAGCTGCTGTAACAGCTTCCACGAGCATGTAGAGCACTGGCTGATGCTGGGTAGCAGCGTTTCCAGCGACGGCCAGCGGTAGAGTAGGCTGCATATTACTGTGCACTCCTTGTACTTGTTGCGGCCGCGACATCGTTGGCGAATTACCATGACTCCCACAAACACCGGGAGTATTCACACGTGGCGGGCTAATTATGTTCTCCCGTTTCTTCTTCTTCCCGAGCCCACGACCCCCGGCTGGAACACTTCCATGCAAGTTGGCGCCAGCACGTGCAACTCTTCCCTCGTGTTGCGCAGTCTGGGTACATATCGGCTCCTCCTCCGGCTCCTTGGCAACCGCCTTCTTCGTCTTCACGAGCCGGCGATAC